TGCCATCAACGGAGGCACTGCTCCATCCAGTCTCCTCTATATCAAGAACCTGCCTAACACACTTCTACTCGTATATCTACACCCAAGACTTGAAGGGGATTTTTCCATCATACTCATTGGGAAGCTTTTAAACTTGAGGACCTCTCGAACCTCCCCAGAATGGACCTCTTCCACCCTACTAGATTTCTTTGTGGATCTGTACTTAGCACCCCTCTCTGATGTTTCAGAAAACTAGTTACCTCTCTTGATGAAGCGCTTTGGACCTCTGCTCTGTTATCAGATCTTTACAATTCAAATCGTCTTGCTTCAAATGTCTGTAAGAGAGAATAATTATATTACTCAAGACAATGAGAAAAAACAATCAGTTTAACTTGTCAAACAATAATAAAAAAATCTAATAGAAATTAACAGCTCAATGCCCTGTATTATTTAGCCAGTTTACCATTTGAATCATAGAATAAGGAATCAATCATACTGAAGAGCGTGTGATAAAGAAACAAATTACCTATACTCATCATTCCCACAATGGAACTTGAGCTGGGGGAAGCTCTCCTTCTGTTGCTACCCATAACTGCACCTAAATTGGCTGGGCGTGATTGAGACCTTCCCCTATCAGCATCTACCTCAACTCTACCAGAAGTCGATCTATTTTCTATTTCAGAATAGTGTACTTTGGCACCCCTTGATTTTGTATCATTACCAGCATATCGATCATCAGGAGATTGCTTCCTTCCCTTACTATCTTTGAATCTAGCAGTCCTCCGTTCATCATGTAATTCATCACGGTCACGATCTCTATCTTTGTCCCGGTCACTATAACGGCAATCACGTTCACGATCCCATTTAGAATCAGAATCACGATCATGGTCATGATCACGGCTGTGGTCACGTTCTCGATAATAGTCACGATCAAGATCACGATAACGTTCACGCCCTCGATCGCGTTCCCGCTCCCTATAATAATCACGATCACGGTCTCTATCATGGTCATGATCACGCTCAAAGTCACTATCTTGAGCCTTGGACTTCTTCCTCCAAACTTTCACATCGTCTTTTCCATCCCTTAAAAACTTCTCACTATTACAATTAGCGTGATCACTTGCTGGTTGATCATCTTTCAATTTATCATGTTGCCACTCGTCTTCATAGTCCTCTTCTTGATACTTGTCCTTGTATCTTTCATCCTTATGCTTCTCATCTTTAGCTCTGCCATCTTTGCCAGTATAATTGTTCATAGACAACTGCTTGTCCAAGTTATCTCCATTATCTTCCAGATGCTTATCCTCGTCACCAGAAGCATCTCTCCTTTTCCTAAGTCGTCTTTCAAGCTGGCTCTCTGATTCAGGACTTCGCAACTGATCTTGTACAATCAAATCTAAAAAGAACTTAAGATGTTACCAAAAATAATTAAGAGCCTATTTTTAAGGGGAAAACACCTCAGAAGTTAAAATTTGATTCCCACATATATTACAAAACCTCCTCTGACAATCCTGATTTGGTAATAGCCATACATGTACTCATTTTATTTGCAAGCAGAAGACAAGAGCCTATAGAAAGTGCACGTAATAATATACCAAGCTGAGCAATGGCATATACGTAAAGCAGTCCAAAACAAAATAGGACATCTAAAAACAAATAGAGAACTTAAAAACAAAAACCCTAATATTAGATTTCTAAAAGCATACAAGTAAAATTATTTATTCTCCTAAAGCTAACGTTAACTTCAAACCTGTATAAAATCAGAAACAGGATGAGTGCCAAAATCCCGATGCATCTGAACATAGCACTAATATATTTGAGCCAAAGTAGCTCAACCATTTTATATTAGGCCTTAATTAAAGACCAGCTCATCGCACTGATAAAACAGAATCTGGGAAATTGATGTCATATACTTAGAAAAGCACATATGAAAGCACTTCTAAGTGTACACGAAGTGTGGCAACTTCAAGCTTAACCCAACAGATTCTCTTCTAAATTTACATGAAAATTATATCCATATCCAAAACAGGGAACCATGAATGGGAAAGTACTTTTCAAACAACACTTTGAAGCTAATAGAAAATTACATATTGGAGACAACTGAAATTTTCAAATTTTGATTCCTTCCAAACCAATACCAGGAAAAAGGAAACCAACCAAAAGGAATATTAACTGGAGAAGGCTAACCGACAATTTCAAGTCAACATTGAAGTTAAAAAATTTGGGGGGGGGGGGGAACAACCTAATCCAGGTCCATTTACAATGCAGAAAGAGTAATATACCAAGTTTTAAGGTCAGATATTAATTGCTTTGTAACTGCGCTCAGAAGGCCTTAAAACAATACAAAATACACACCTTTCCAATACCATTAAAACTACGGTAGAAACTATATTCTCCCTTTAATTTCAACTATGTCACCTACTCTATAAATTCCTCAACACAGCCTCTCATACTGCAAACAAAACATCTACTTTTCCTCTTTGTCTCTTGCAGTAATAAGATTCTTAAATCAGATAACTGATGCAGAAATTAATACTGACTAGTCATTAATTACAAATGCAAAAGGTTCTGAATATCCTTTATTACAGTCCCACTCAAAGGGCAAGCTAAAAAAGTTTGTAACAATAGATAGCATCCCTACTCAACAACTTATAAACAAGTTACAAAGGTTCAGCAATTCATAAATATCGTCCTTATTCAATGTTGAATGTTAACTCCTAAAACCAAATAAAACTAGTAAACAAAATTGGGAAAAATAATAACAATCAATCTTAACATACACTACTTAACAACAACAAAAGAACACAAAATAGTTAGAAATGCAGAATTGCACATGCTAAATTGACACTAAACAACAACAACACAACAACACAAAAGAGCATCACAGTTAATAAGTTATCTTACCAGATCTTTCAGCGGATTGCTTCACAGGGCGGTGTTCATCAGCCTCCATCGACCTATCGCTCTTTCCTTCTTTACCTTTCTTTTCTTTTTCCCTTGCTCCTTTCTACTCGATTCTCTATATTTCCCCTCACTTTTAATCCTCTTTGCATCATCTCCTTCGGCATCCTCTCGTTCTTACTATTGAATTCAATTGAACCCCTAGACTTCTTCTCTCCTTTAACACCGTCTTCACCGCCATTCCACCTGTAGGTTGCTCCATTATCCACTTTTTCTTTGCGGCGCTTTGAGGAACTGTACACATAATCTCCATTCCCCGAAATCCAAGTGTCCTTGGAGTCAAGCCTTCTCTTGTCACCGGATCCAGGCTTGCTCTCCTCCTTTTTTTCCTTCTCCTTTAAGCACGTATCTCTCTCCGAATCCGAGTAGTCCCTAGCATCCCTAGAACTATGCTTTTAGATTTGTGCCTTGAACTTCGCGGCATCACCGGAGCACAACTACGATAACTCAATATTAAAAAAAAAATCCTAACTGGAAAATTTTTAAACCCTCCGAATAAAAACGAAACACCAATCTCTAATCAACATTCAATATGAAAAACCCTAAAATCGAATCTTTCACGGTATCTAACGTAGATTCTAAAAATAAACCGACAAAATGACGGTGGAAACCCTAATTGGGTGGAATAGGAGAGAAGGCGGCGGGACCTCTCACGGAGAAGATTGGAGGTGAGTGGAGGCGGAAGGCGGTTAAGACAATGAGATCGATAACCGGGGGGATTACGAGGGAGGGTAGGGTGAAAGAACTAGGGATTCAGTTTCACGGAGGAAGATGGGGCGTTTTTGGGAGAAATGATAAAAAGATCATGTGATTTTGAAGAAGAAGAGAACGAGAGGGTGCGCCTTTTTGTTTTAATGGGCTTTGTTTTTCAAAAATATATAATTCGAGTTTAGACTTCGGATAATTTTGTCGATCTGACAGGATTAACCCTTGAGATTTACCCGTATTACTGTCTTGTCCTTGGTAATTTAATTGATTTGATTCATCATATTTCAAGTTGATTTTAAGTTTTAATTTGTTAATTTTATTTTGATAAAACCATTTTAAATCATAAACCACTCGTACAATATTATTAATTTGAATTTATTTAAAATTTGATTTGTACGATTCCTTTAACCTTTCACCGGAATAAGGCATACGTAAAACACGTTATAATTGACAAATATCCACCTTCTATAGTATACACAATTTGGATTTGATTTGGGCGGAATTGCAAATTATCTATTGCCACATTCTATAGTCTACACGTCACAACATTTTAGCATCAAAACGTGGCGGCAGCATCACGTTCCAACACGACGCCGTGCTGGTGTTTCCAAACCAACAACACTTTTCTTTTAATTCCTTAATTACCAGAGAATAAAACCACTGTAGGTGCCTGTTCGTCCCCGCACTTACCTTTGCGCTTCCTAAAGAGCTGAAAATGGCGAAATCCGGCCTGAGCTGTCTTTGTCGTCGCTATCGGAGCACTCTATTGTCAAACCATATTCCGCACAGCAATCTCAGTTGAAACATGGAAAAGGCCGACAACGAAGATCGGGAAGCTGTGAAATGAAATCTTGAACATAAGAATAAAGAAGAAGAGGCTGAAGGTGGAGATGAAGAAGATCACGTTAATAGAGAGACGGGAGAGGTTGGCGGGCCTAAAGGCCCGGAGCCCACTTGGTACGGTGATTGGGAACGCAATGGTCGCTGCTACGACTTCTAATTTGCGTGTTTGTGTGTGGTTATTTGCTTTTCTAAGTTTTTACATCATGAATGTAGAACTGAAGTTTATTTGGTGATTTGATTTCCTGGGAAGAGAAAGATAGAAAAAAAAATATTTTGGAGTAGGAATCAATAATTTGAAAATGAAATATAAAATTTTTGAACATATGACGTCCAAATTGATTTATTTCTTTACTTATATTTTGCGTTTGGATGCCAACAATCTTTCAACCCAACACAATCAATGATTAAAGACCGAAACCGTAAGTTCCATTATGTTTAAAAGCTAATTGCAAAGAAGGAAAGAGTCAACAGTTGAACTTTCCTTCATTTGAACCCCACGTTTTCTATGACCGAAGACCAGTCCCATGATTCTATTGCAGTCAAACTTACGTTCAAAAACCCAGAACCAATGTCCTTTTCTCATATAATTCCACTTCTGTGACCACTCTCTTTATACACATGCATACGTGTAACGTAACATTTGTATAGCATGAACTAATAGAGTGAAGAAAGAAAATCTGGGCCTGGTTTATTAATGGAGGATATGGGAAAATGGGAGCGAATGAATCTGATCAATGAGTTAACTCGGGACGAGAGCTAGCGAGGCAACTCCAGGCTCATCTCAATGCGCCTTCCTCTGATGATGAAACGAAAGAACTTTTAGTTCAAAAGATTCATGATTCTTATCAGAAGGCACTGTTGATGGTGAACTGCAATGTTAACACATCGTTGATAGTGACACACAAGCACCAGAAGAAACGATCGCAATGCCGGAGTGTGGATATCTCATGGGTGAAGACTCTGATCGTCATTTCGGGAAACCGGAGCTCAAAGATGCCTCCAAGAAAAGGTATATGTATAATATTGACTTGAATTTGAAATTTTATTATTATGGTTAGATCCATAATTTGTTGGTTTCAATTTGATACATATGGAGATTTTTATACCGCAGGAATAGTACTCAACCAAGATGGATACAAAAAATTCGAGTAGCGCCTGGGATGGCAGTGGAGGGACCTCTTGATGATGGTTTCAGTTGGAGGAAGTATGGACAAAAGGATATTCTCGGCTCGAAACATCCAAGGTTTGTAAAGTATATAGAAACCTATACTCGTAAGTTTGACTTAAATCAATTGGTCCGTCTAGTTATACTATATTTGTGAAGTTACATTATATTATATATGTATTCAAGTATAGTTTCTTGATTGCAGAGGCTATTACAGATGCACACATCGTGGCGTTCGAGGTTGTTCGGCAATGAAGCAAGTACAAAGATCGGGGGATGACCCGACAATCTTTGAGATTACATACATCGGAGACCACACTTGTACGAACGTAACTTCAAGTCTAAATTCTACCTCAGGACCTCTGATGAAAATCAGAACAAGAACAATTGCTCCATAACCAGAAACAATCATCAGAGGATCTATTTCTTAGCTTTCAAAGCGACCTCAAAGTTCAAACCCAAGATTTAGTTCATCATGATCGTCACCCAAACATGGCATTCATTCCCCTACACTTCGTCAACATCCAACATTGTCCTTTCAGCACCTTCTTTAGCCGAAAATGATGGTGTCCGAAACCATTTGCAGTCTAATACCGTATCGCTAACGGCATCAAGGGCCAACTTCAGTTTTCAAGCCCGTGATGATCAGACTCAGGTTACTGATGAGTATAAGATTGTTCAAGCTGCTGCAATTTGGCGACGAGCTCGCCTACAGTTGGCTTGGATTTTCCATTGGGTAATTCCCAGTTGATCAAAACATCACATTTGACAACAATGGGTTCTTCCCCTAATGATTGTAAGCTTTGATGTTGCCGTGAAACATCTGCTTCATTGCATGTGCTTCGTCAATTTGGGTGGTATAACCAGACTCCCCCCAGCCTTTTCTGCTTCTATAACAAATCGATCTAATCGATTTAATTATAATCAAATAGATATTGGATGAATATTATTTCAACTAAATCTTTATAAAATTTATTTTCTACTCGAGTGGGTCCAAGTTTTTGTAAGTTTTGGCTTTAACCTTATTAGTGATTTACGATGAAAAAAAAACTGAAGACAACCATTTCGTTTTATTTTATTTTTCCAGTGCAGTTACATATGTAATTTCATTTTTTCCCCAGATGTAGAACAAAAATTAGCCATTCAGGTTCATATCTATTATATCCACAAAAATTCAGAATAAAATCATGAATGAATTTTACGACTTGACGTTACTGAATAAACTCAGAATAAAACTTATTTTTTAAGTTTTTTGTTTTTTAAAATTAAATTAAAAGAGAGCATGCACTTTTTTAATATATGTATAATTAGAACTTATATAACATATAATTGTATGGATAATATTAAATAAAGTAAATAAACATTGATCCAAATTACAGGGTCTAAAGTTACTCAGATATGATATGGGATAGTTGTCGATTTCAGATTTAGAACACAGTTTCTCGGTTCCAAAGTTACATTCATCCAATGTTGAATCCTTCACATTCACTTTATGTTTCAAGTGAAATAACAAACATTCATGCATAGACATTTCCTTTAAAACCAAAATATATGGGGAAAAATTAAGAAAAAGAAATATGGGGTTTCCCCTTACACATGACAAAGCTCGTTAGCCCATGGCGTACTTCTGGGTCCAGCTCCTTGCAGTTGTCTCGTACTTGTTCCTGTCCGTCTTGTACATGTGAGCAATCTCAGGCACCAATGGATCATCGGGGTTTGGGTCTGTCAGCAAAGAACAGATTGATAGCAACACCTACAACAACAAAATAAAACAAACAAATCCGATACTAAAATTAATACCATCTTGGGTATTGAGTCGGATTCTATCACTTTTGCTTTGTTCAGATGGTCATCTCTCATTGGGTTGGCATTGTGATTCATATTTTTGGGATGATCAGATTTGTTTCAAGGTCAGTGACCTTCTAATATGATTTGTTTTGGCCGCCACGGGTGGTGGCGGCTCATTCCAGTTGGATCAATTTTTGCCACCCTTAATGCCAAATATATGAGATGAGTTTCGGATAGGAGTATCTAGATATTTAGGACACTCTCACCTTGGATATTGTCAGCGCAGGACTCCACTGTTCCTTCAAGATGTCTAGGCAAATGCTTCCATTGCTATTGATATTGGGATGGAATACCTTTGTTCTAAATGCCACCTGCAATAGCAATTTCATATGGAAAAATTAGAGAGAAGGAAGCATTACATACTTTAGAACTCTTCTAGCTTTAACAATTTTGTGTTAAGCAACTTAAATTCTTACAGTGAGCCAAACAAAGAAATCTACTCATGAAGAAGAACTCTATTTTCATTTTC